AGAACACGATATATAAGCAAAGAGAGGCGGATAACGGAAAGGCGAGCACGAGACCCCAAAATCAATAGCACAAATGGTAATGAGAGGCAATAATAGTTGAGAAAATTTCTCCACTTCCCAAAGACAGTTACAATTCCTTATATAAATCAAATTCATAAAAGAAATCGGGGGCAAAGTGTAGAGCGAAAAACCCCCACCAATCATAACACACCACATGGCAGCAAAAGAGTAGCCCGCGACTAAACTAAAAGCATCCAGAGGCCCATTGTCAGTTGGAGGCCCAACAATAGGAGCCAAATGTGCATGTTAGTTCAGCCCAATTAAATAAAGGAAGCTCCACTTGACATAAAAGCCAAATGGGTAGCCCAATCTCAACAGGTCCATAAATCCATAACACTTGCCATAATGGTATGCACACGATCAGTAAGTGTAAACATTCATGTCTGGGAATAAAAGCCAGGAAATGGCTCCATGTAAATCTCTGAAAAAAAGCTTATAAATAGAGCCTGAATGAGAATGAAAAGGCATCGAATTCCCATCATTGTTATTCTCTTCAAAAATTGCTTTTATCTCATCAATATTCTGCACACTTCTCCTTAATTTATTTCTTGTTCAAGTGTAAAAATCTGCACCTACACATATATCTTGTAAATATTGTGTATTGATTAATTAATTAAATTCATGAGATGGTCGTTGAGTTGTCTTATGATAATATGAGTGTATTAATAAATTCATGAGATGAGTTGAGGTGTCCTATGATAATGTGAGTTGAATTATATATAAGACACGGGTTCATATGCAGGAGAAATAAATCAGGTGGAAACTACATTATCATTTATAATTAAATTTGATAATAGAAGATGGGCTCTCTATTTGCAAATAATTTAAATGGATCACGAATTGATAAATACGCTAATGTAAACACACTTTAGTCGATCAAGACATTTAATTAAAGAATTAAGCACACTTAATTCCCTTATTAAACACTATTAATTATGGTTTACAGAACTGCAACAATAGGATATCCATATGGGTTTTTAGTGGATCTTCATTTTCTTTAATGCAGTATGCAGGAGGAGAATCAGTGCTTCTTTTCCTTTTCATCTTTCTTATCTTTGTCATCACCACCAACCGGTACCACTGCAGGAGTCATCTTTCTACTTTTCTTCGGTTTTTTAAATTTTGGGAGTTTTGGAATACGAGGAAAACGTGTTATTGAGTGGCCCGAGCCGCCATGGCCTTCATCGTGTCCGTCTCCATCCTCAGCAACATCGGTATCTTCTTCATGGTCTGCTTCTTGTTTTATGCCCACATTAAGTGCATATCCATGAAGAAATAAGAGAGGGAGCTTTACACAGGTTAAGGGTTTCAAATCCAAGTTGTTAAAAGGGTTGTTTGCTATTTTTGTTTGGAAGATTTGGATGGAAAGGAATTCAGCTTTACATAGTGGTTATAAGGTTTCATCTGCTGCTGCTGCAAAGGATATTATTTGGGAAGTTTTAAGTTTTTTTTCTCTTGGGCTTGCTGATATGCTCGTTATATTTGATGTGGGGTAACATCTAGTGGTAGTTTGTTTTGGAATCAGAGTGGCACTCAAGTTGCTGACATAGTTCAGCTGGACTGAAAGGTTTTGCCACAAGTTTTGGTTTCTGTCAAGTTCTTCTAAAAGCATAAATTGGTCTTCAGGTCTCCATAATGGGCTGAATTTTTTAGTCTGTTTAGGCATTCTTAGCTATGCTATGTATTTGGATTAAGTTCCATCTCTTTTTTCATTTAGTTTTTGCTGGAGATTTGATCTCCTATTTGTAATTGTATTGCTTTTTCATTATATTTTATTCAAAAACATCCCATTCAGGAAAAAAAAATAAATAAATAAGAGAGGGAGAATAAAGAGAAGAAAGATGACTCATAACAAGACCGCCATAAAGATTAATACTTCTTTCTTAGAGGCTCTTGCCAAAACCCATTCTATATTTTACTCTTCCATCTTTATCTGTATTTATATTTGCAATAAGGTGCTTCCAGGGTCTGACAACAATGCTGAAGATATCTCCCACTCAAATTAGAAAGAACAATTCCTCACTTCCAAATTTTCCCATACCCTTTTCCTCTGTTTTTAGCCTATTTATAGATTGTTACAGATATTTTCTAACTAACTTCTTGAACTGGGCTGTTCTTCTGGGCCTTCCTTCATTATGGGTTCAGCACCTTCCGTTCTGAACCGGGCTTTTTTCTTAATTTTATCACCCTGGGCTTAATTAGTAAAGACTCGGTCTATAACAATGGTCTTTGTCCGGCCCGCTCATAACCTCATGGATCATACCCAGCCCAAGTCATTTTCGGCATCCTCAAATGCCTAAATAAAGAAAATACTCCTAAATTAATACATTTTCTCCACAATACATGACAAAATAATAGTATGTTATCAATATGCGCGTTGGGCTGGCAACAATGCCTAAATATGGGAAATGCTCTTATATATATATATATATATATATATATATATATATATATATATATATATATATATAGACACACACACTCCATAATACTTGCCAAAATAATAATATAGAATGGTTGAATTTGCAACACATGCCTCGCGTTTTACTGGTCTGAATTTGTTTTATTGGTCTGAATTTTTGTTCGAGGCCTAAACGAAGTCGGGTTGCTCTCAAGTTTTAGATTTAGTATATTTCATTTACTAGGTTTCTTATTATATTCTTTTTATAGAGAATTTATTTTTATGCTTATTTCTAGGATTAATTTCCTTGTAAGATTATATTTTAGTTATTAGGTTTTCTCTATTTTTAATATTCATGTATTGCAAGAACAAAATAGAACCTTTTATCAATAATATTTTAGAATTTTTTATGAATTTATTTCTTATTTTGTGGATAGATTCAAAATACCGTACTTTGTGCATTCGGAGTAAAGTCACAAAACACGAGATAAATTTATAAAGGATTCTGAAATATTATTGATAAAAGATTATATTTTGCTTTTGCAATAATATATATTTATAATAGAGAAAACCTAATACTATAAGGAAACTAAAATATAATCTTACAAGGAAACAAAACATACAAATGCGCATAAAAATAAATTCTCTCTAAAAATTCTAAAAAATATATAGGAAGAAACCTAGTAAATAAAATATACTAAATCTAAAATTTGAGAGCAATTAGAATTCGTCTATGCCTCGAACAAAAATCCGGAAATAATCAACAGACCTCCAAATAAATAATAAAATGCGATTTCAAAAACCTACACGAAAGTTTTCAGCCGAAAACCAGCATGTCACATGAGCAAAAGTTGGTGGGTTTTTCTCAATGCATTGTTTTTATTGAAAAAGCACTATTTGCATGTTTATCGAAAATGGACTTGTCAGAACTGTTTATCAATCAAATAGGAATGGACCTATTATCAAGTGAGTGGGTGAGTTTTTTTTTTTTTTTTTTTTTTGGGAGGAATATATACCCCTAAAATATTACTAATGCCCTCCTGAAATTATTACAAAATTTCAATCTTGCCTCCTCTTACCTAAAGTTCTAGGTTCGTCCGAATAGTTCTTTTGTAACATAAAGAACTCCTCACCGAACAAAGATCAAACCAGACAATCTTTTTCTTCTTAGATTTCTATATAGAAAAAAGGTTCATTGGACTATACCAATCAGTTGAAGATGGTAATATTGATTCCTAAGAATATTTGAAGAAAATGAGATAAACAAAATGTAAATCCTTGATGTGATTTTATTAATTATTGAACAATTGGGTTTCTAGAGCATTGATCTCGTTGCGCGCATTTACCATCCTAATGGGCTTTCATATTGCGAAACATTAGTACTCTTGCAGTTAGCATCAATATGAGAACATATTTTATGTAATGAAGGCAAGGCATAGGTGCATGTTTAAGATGGGATTAGGTAGCCAGTATAACATCATAGGATGACCTGTAGGTCTTTGCACATTTTGTGTTAGGAGGGACACAAGTGGTTGACATGGGACTAACTGGTTATAAATAAAAATGGGAGGTATATTGTTGTGATATTTTTATGTCCTTCATAGCAATTGGATTGTAATTCACATTTTTTTTTTTTGTTAATAAAATCTGGGTTAAATGCTTTACATATGTCTTGTAAATATTGTGTATTGATTAATTGGTTATAAATAATAATGGGAGGTATATTGTTATGATATTTTTATATCCTTCATAGTAATTGGATTGTAATTCACATTTTTTTTTTTTTTAATAAAATATATGGTTAATTGTTTTACATATATCTTGTAAATATTGTGTATTGATTAATTCAATTCATGAGATGATCGTTGAGTTGTCCTTTGATAATGTGAGTATATTAATCAATTTATGAGATGAGTTGAGGTGTCCTATGATAATGTGAGTTGAATTATATGTATATGACGGGTTCATATGCATGAGAAATAAATCAGGTGCAAACTACATTATCATTTACAATTAAATTTGATAATAGAAGATGGTACTCTCTATTTGCGAATAATTAAATTGGATCACGATGAGTTTTTAAATACGCTAATGTAAACACACTTTATTGAAAACATTTAATTAAAGAATTAAGCACACTTAATTTCTTTATTAAATAAAATTAATTATATTCAAAACACTACACAACAAAATACTTATTTTCTTTTGAATTAAAACAAAAACAAAAACACAAAAACAAAACGCATACCAAACAGATATTTCGATCATCTATCTAGTATCTACTCTCTCGTTGCCTCGTATCTTTTCCTCCTCCTCTAAATTAAGTTAGTATATTAATTTTTCATATTTTGTCAAGCCCACTCATAAAAAAGCAACAGAAACTAACTTCATTTATATACCATTCCAAATAGTTGTTTATTTTTATTGTTAACTCATACTATAATACCTGTAACCTTCAACTATAAGCATATTTGAAAGGCTCAGCTAGCTCCCACCATGATCAAGGCCCAATTAATTACTGTAAGTTGTATTAATTTAATTAAGGGCACTTGTGTTTGCCACCATGAGTGGTCATGTTGGCGTAGCAAGGACACACATCTTCGTTACCAGAAGTGCCTGGAGGTACACAGTTGCAACGCTCACAGCATGTCCCGCATGCCCTCTTGCACAGGTTCGGCCTCGACGATAGCCGGCACCTCCCGGCACATGCAGAACCACAATCTGATCGATTCATGTATAAAAGTTAACAAAAACGTTCACTTAGATTATTATAATTAATTTTTATGAAATATCGATGATTAATCAATAATACAAGTACAAATAAATTAATCTATGGTCACATGCAATTAATTATCATCACATTAAACCAACCTATTTGTTGGAGGAGAGAACGCCTTATTCCAATATTGTTGTTCAACTGCAAATCAGAACTTCAATTCATATTAATACTAGAAAATTAAAAAAACAATAAATAAAAAAAGGAGAAAGATTATATATATATATATATATATATATATATATATATATATATATATATCGAAAAAAAATTACCGCTTGATCAGCTTCAACAAGATGGAATACTAGAAGAGAGACAAGAAGTGAAGCAATCAAAGCCTTAGAGATGGCCATTCCTGAAGAGATTCCAAATATAATATGTTTTAATAATAAACCTTTCTATGTAAAATGAGGGACAGGGTTATGTATTTATAGAGAGAGAATGAAGAGAGAGAAAGGTGGTATATATTGTGTGAGTGATTTGGTGAGTAAAGAACGTATGGAATTATCTCAAGTTTAGCAATGCTTCTCGTGTGCGTAAAGCCTAAATTCATTCACCTGCAAAAATTGCACACTAAAATGAGTTGGCTAATTATTTGCCACGGCTCTTTAACAAAAAGAGCAACGTGTGGTTGAATTTATTTATTTATTATTTTTTAAAACCAGGTGTGGTTGAAATGAAAATGTTGCTTTTATGGAGCAAAATTTTCATTGTAGTAGGCCTGTTTTTTAAAAAATAAAATAATAATAATAATAATAATTCATTGTAATAGGCCGGTACCAGAAGAAAAGCTAGACTAGGTGAGCCTTGCCAACCCTTTATTCCAGGCATACCTGTACCACAATAATTGAAATGCATATTTGATTGTTTCAATGGGTGATATTTAAAAGAAATTTTAGCACACATTACTTAATTGGTTGTTAAACGTGAAGGAGCTAGCAGAGGCCAATAAGTTACTGAGAACTTGTTAATAGTAGCTTTTCTTTCTATTCATTTCATTTCTTTTTTTCTTTTTAAAAAGAAAGTAATAATATTAGGAGGGTACCAACTAATGGTGAATAGTTATTTTCAATTATCAAGAGAAATAATGACAATGCAAGAGGCGGGAGTTAATTCACAAAAAGCGAAAGTGGGAGTGAGAGCGAATTCGAGAGTGAGAACGTGAAAGTGGCAGAATTAAGTCATAAATAATGAGAATTTGAACTTGAACGTGTGCGCGGAGCGTAAGAGGGGGAACGCGCTGGGAGCGTGAGAGCGACACCCATTAAGAATGATTGTGTGACTTATGACGGAAATATTGTTAATGATATTTTAATAAAAATAATTATATCACCTTCAATTTTTTAACTTTACACTTGCTTACGAAATAAAATAATTATAATAAATTATTGTGATTTTAATTATGTATGTATGGTTATTATGTGACATTAAATGTTTTTATTTAACTTTAATTCTTTCCTTGCTTTTCTTTTTTTGTTTTGGGACATCCAATGTGCAGGAGTCATCAAAAATGCCCTGGATACCTTCTCCAATCTCTTTAGTCTGACCCCTGAGCCTTCAAAGAGTCACCCCATGTTTTGTTCTGTTCCTGAATCCACTAGGAATGAAATTTGCACTCTTTTTCAATTTCCTTTGACACTCTCCCCTTCACAAAATCAATGATGGGAATTCAAAAATGCTCTTCTATCGTATTTGGGTGGAGAGAAATAATTGGATCTTCAGAAACAAGTCATCTCCACCATCAGGCATGAACCCACAATAGGATCAGTGCGGGCGGATGCTCCCACTGGATTTTTTATTTTTGCATTTTATACTTTAAAATTTTGAGAATTTATGAAGATGACTCCATTAACATTATAAAAATAGACCTACTATATAAGTTTGTCCCCACAAATTAAAAAGGCCGCCCCCCCCTCACAAAAGTTTCTGGGTCTGTTACTCACCATTGAAGACATTCAATACCAGTGTTGACTTGGTGAGGTCACACCTATTCTCCATAAAAAAAAATAAAAAAAAAAAGTGTAGTTCCCCGCATGTTGAAACAATTGTAGAGGATCGGAACCTTCCTCCATCCCTTTAAACCAAACATGGCCAACCCTTTCTTCATATTTTCCTAGCTCATCTCTAGTTTCCTATGCCGGATACTGAGCTACGAATGTTGATGCTCTTGCCTGTTTCTAGTTGGTGCCCGGACTGGGTAATTCGCGATCCAACCCAAATGCTTAAGCTATTAAGTATGGCTATAACACCCAGCCCATTTATACTCATTTCTCTCCCATCTGGATCCGATGTGGGACTTCTAACATTCCCCCCTTCATCCGAATTCGCAACGCCCTCGTTGTGGTCGGGCCACCTTGCCTACCCGGTGGAGACCCGGCACCTCCAGGGCGGGTGCTTGTGACGTAAGCGGAAGCTAAGGTTGTTCACAAGGAACCATAAATTACTTTGAATTCACAAAGTAATAACTTTGAATCCACAAAAGAAGAGATAAATTCAGAGAAAATTTGATTTTATATTGATAATTAAATAGATAAACTAATTATGCTCTCTACAGTACATGTATTTTTAATAAAAGGAAGCCTAACACTAGAATGAAATTATGAACATAAAGAAACCTAATAGCAAAAGGAAAATAACACTAAAAATAAAGTTTCTTCTAAAAATTCTGAAAAAATAGAGTAAGAAATCTAATCAACAAAAATCTACTAAATATAAAAATTGAGATGAATTCGACTTTGTTTAGGCCTCAAACAAAAATTCTAAAATAATCAACATGCCTCTTAAAATATATGAAAACGCGATTTCGGAGCCCTAAACGAAGGATTTCAGCTTAAAACCAACATGGCCCACAAGCTAAATCTAGTGGGGTATTTTTCAATGGATTGTTTCGACCCAAAAAAACACTCCTTCCTGGTTAAAAACAAACTTGTCAAACTGTCCATAATTATGTCCTACATCAGTCCCCTCCACTTTAAAAAAACTCGTCCTTGAGTTTGGCTGCAAATAACGTGAAGTCTCGCATGTAACAACAACATACTGATTATTGTCATGAGAACCTCCAAAACATGACACCAAAATATCTTCATTGGCACCTTATGGAATAAAACTTATTCAATTGCAATCTGCTTAAATAATGATACTTTACTAATTTGAAGCCTGAATTATTCCATACCATATTGGACATCTGATTTGGAAAAATTATTAAACTATTGAACATCAATTAATTCTTGTTGCTCAATTTCAGCATCAAACTTCTTATCACCATCCTCTTCTTTTGTCGTGCTAAAATATTTTCTATATTTACCAATTTGTGCAAAGGAATTAATGTTTTCACACCCTTGACTTCATATTTTTTAATAACAATAACTGAAGCAACAAAATTTTGCTCTTGATCAACCGCAATAACATCCGTCATTGCTTGAACAAAATTATTATTATCCTTGATGTATGCACTATCTTTTTTGTAAATTTTCTTTTTGACTGATGGACTCTCTTTGCTATAATTGTGGTATATTTTTAATACATCATCTCCTCACAATTTGGTGGTAGAAATTTAGCCACGATTAACCTTTTCATCTGGGACCATGATCGAACAGGCTGTAATCCTTGCCTCATCCAGTTAATCTTTATCCATTTCTGCCAAGCTGAAGCACACCCTTTTAACCTAAGGGCAACAAGTGGAACTTACTTGTTTTCAGGTACATCAAAATACTCAAAAAATTCTTAAACGTCTTGAAGCCAGTCAAAGATATCTTCAATAATAATAATCATTCCATTGAAAGTAAGTAGATCAAGTTTTGCTTGAAACTCACGATTATCCGGATATTTACGATTTTTGTTATGTCTACTTCGACCACTGAATCCAAAATCCTCATCATCAGAATAATCATTAGAATAATTCACATAAGCTGGAGGCCTACGTGAATAAACATGCACATGCATAACCTATATTCGGTTGGTTGTAAGACACATCATCAGTGCAAACTTGAACTAAATCACGAACCTGGTTGCCACCAATCCCAAAACTAGTTACGATGAACCATTCTTGAGTATGTGCGGCTGCTTAAAGGGCCTTCACTCTGCGATCAACGTTGCCAAAGTGGAAGCGTCCCAAACGATCAATCGCCATCAAACCAGGAAAAGATCGACAAGGCTCTGATACTAACTAATGCAAGCAGAAGCTAGTGTTGTTTCTAAGGAACAATAAACTACTTTGAATCTATAAAGTAAGAGATAAATTTAGAGAAAATATAATATTGTATGGATAATTGAATAAATAAACTAATTATGCTTTTTGCAATACATGTATTTGTTAGAATATGTGAATGAAACTTGCCTACAACATATTCATCATGTTAGAACTGTGACGTGAACAAACATATCCAATAACGATGAGACACTGCTTTGTCTATAACTACCCATTGGAAGTAGTTGTGTCTGTTAATGATGAGACACCACCTTGTCTATAAATACCCACCATTGGCTTCGATTTCAGTTCGTTCAATTCTTTGATTTCTTCTCTCCCTCTCTAGATTTGAACCCAACACAAGTTAGTTCAAACGATAGGTCAAGTGGTCTGAGCTACTTAGACCCTAATCCAATTTCACCGAGTCATATTAAAATTGGTCTGAATCATTTAGTTCGGATTGCACCCAATTCAGCATTTATATAGTATAGATGTATTTTTGAGTCAAATAGAGTATTACGCAGAGGAGGTTCACCGAATTTATAGTGCTGCTGCCAGTGGATATAGACCATTATATCTAAGGATACAAGCACCATAGAGTCCGTCAGCACTATGCAGGGCGTAAATTGTCTTCAGGTCATAATATCCAATACTAGTCTCGGTCCAAGTTCTTTATTTATTATTATTATTTTATTGCTTTAATTCGAATGTTTAATTAAATATCGATTTGCATATTTAATTAATTATTTTTACCATATTATCAATTATCTCATGACATATTAGTATAATATTAGTTATATCTTAAATATTATATGAAACATATATTTAGCAACAATATTTATAATAAAAGGAAACCTAACACTGTGAGATATATTTTTGTAAATTGGCATATTTCGGTAACAAAACAAGTCTTAGTCGAGTTGTAATTTCAGTTACCATATCAGACTTGACATCGACTGCAGAATTCAGAGGTTGAACAGAAGAGAAAAGTATTATTGATCATCAAAAAGGAAAGAACAACACATTAGGACATCGTTTCCCACTTAGGACACAATTACCTATATGGTATATGTTTAGAGTTACCAAAATATAGAAAATCCAAGTTTCAGTTGGATTCTGTCTAGTGGGAACCAGTTGGAGAAATGGGAACCAGTAGCCAAATACGTT